CGGGGTTAGTCTGGGTAGAGACACGGTGGAGGACGGGTGTGTGCAGTGCGCCCACCGTCTCTTCATGCAAACCCTATATCTGTGATTTTAGTAGGATAGTTTTATATAAGGTAAGAAACCCCCCACGAGGAAATCCAAAGGAATCTATCGGTTTACCAGTGTGCGTGAACGTGAGAGAGAGAGAAAAAAAACTCAACGCGACCTAGGGACTTCAACTCGCCAGGAAAGAGTGAGCCAAGTCGAGACTCATGGGCGGTTTGTGAGCCACGGCACGCCCATTTCATTCCACGCCCACTTGGCTGAGTATTTCTACCTGAACTGTGGTGTCCAGGAGGCGGAATGGGGGTGGTGGCTTCATTAAACTTTTGGCTTGTGGTAGTCCTTTTTGATATATGACGATAATTCAAAATTTACCGCTGGCTTGGCGCTTTTACTCGGGAAAGCTTGAAGGAAAATATGTGTTACTTTTGTCATTTAAACCCCTAATAAAAGGAGTGGGATTTGTAGCGTAAATGGGGACGCGAATAAAAAAAGAATCAGGGCCCACAGATGTTTTGAAAGAGAAAAAATATACGTAGAAAAAAATATATATTTTAGTAACCACAGACAATATACGTAGAAAAAAAAATATATTTTAGTAACCACAGACAATTAAACATTCACACTTGACTGGATGTCCGGGTAGTGAGGTCAGAGAATGGGGCGGGGGGGGAGGGGGAGAGGGAAGGTGGAAGGAAGGGAGAGAGGGAGCTGGGTAAGTGTGGAAGGGGGGGGGGGAGGGGGTTGACGTCATGGGCAGAGAGGGAGAAGGGAGCTGGGTAGGTGTAGAAGGGGGGGAGGGAGGGAGGGGGTTGACGTCATGGGCAAAACTCGACAATCTGGTAGGGTTTCTTAGTCGGGGGGGGAAAGGGAAGGGGGGGAGGTAGGTAATTAGGAAAGGTTTTGAGGGGGAGGGTATCCGAAGGAGGGAATGAAGGGGGGGGGGGGTATGCGAAATGACGGAAACCACACAGCTGTAGCGCAATGTCATGCAAGGTGGAGGCGCTAAAGACCCGTGTTGCAGTGACCATACAATGCCCTTGGTGACGTCTTTGGCTTGGCGATCGGGAGGTGAAATTTCGAAGGCCAGAGGAAAAGGGACGTTGTTTGTACCAACTTATGGGCCATTTTTTTTGTACCAGAACAACGGGTCTTGTGTTGCTTGGTGTGTACAGATGTTGTACCGTTTTATTTTCCTCTCGGCCTCTTCCTCTCCCAGCTTTTGTTTCCTGTGCCACTTCTACGATTGCCTTTTATACGTCTTCTCCCCTTCCCGTCTCTTCCCTTCCCCCTCTCTTCTCTTCTCTTCTCTCTTCTCTCCTCTCTTCTCATCTTTCTCTTGTATTTTTCTTCTCTTCTCTTTCTTTTCCTTTCTTCTCTTCCCTTCTCTTCTTTTCTCTTTTCCTTTACATCTTCTCTTCCTCTCTCTTCGCGTTTTTCCCAATTTCTCTCCCCTTCTCTTCTCTTATTTTCTCTCCCTATTTTCTTCTCTCTTCTCCTTTCTCACCCTCTCCTGCCATTTCTTTCTTTCGTTCTGTTCTATTTTTCTCTTTTGATTCTTCTGTTTCTCGCCTCCATTGTTTTCGTTTCATTTTTTTTTATATTCCATAAGAGTTTAAATTACATTGTTTCTTCAGTCTGATTTTTTCCCCCGTTACTCTCATCTATTTTCTTTTATTTCCTTTTGTTTCCCTTCCTATCCTTTCTTCTGTTTTCTTTCTCCTCCTCCTCCTCCTCTTCTTCTAGTCCCTATTCCTTCCTTCCTCCGTCTTCCACCTTCTCTCCAACATTTCCTCCATTTCCACCATTTATTCCCCCTTCCCTTTGTCTTCCCAGCGTCCTTCTCTATCACTTATTCTAAGAGAGAAAATCGGGCGATTAAAGTGTTATACAACTTCTCCTTATAAAGCCAGTCATTTCTTAGATTAAGGTCATGCATTATGGCCACGAGTATTTCTTTGTCATGCATATGTACCTTCAATTGATATATGACGTATCTGCAATATATCTGACTTTATTCTATTTACTGGTTACAAATTACTTGTATTGACAGCTGGTTTATTCCTCTACTTCCTCCTCCTCTTCTTCTTCTTCTTCTTCTTCTTCTTCTTCTTCTCTTGTATTTTTCTTCTCTTCTCTTTCTTTTCCTTTCTTCTCTTCCCTTCTCTTCTTTTCTCTTTTCCTTTACATCTTCTCTTCCTCTCTCTTCGCGTTTTTCCCAATTTCTCTCCCCTTCTCTTCTCTTATTTTCTCTCCCTATTTTCTTCTCTCTTCTCCTTTCTCATCCTCTCCTGCCATTTCTTTCTTTCGTTCTGTTCTATTTTTCTCTTTTGATTCTTCTGTTTCTCGCCTCCATTGTCTTCGTTTCATTTTTTTTTATATTCCATAAGAGTTTAAATTACATTGTTTCTTCAGTCTGATTTTTTCCCCCGTTACTCTCATCTATTTTCTTTTATTTCCTTTTGTTTCCCTTCCTATCCTTTCTTCTGTTTTCTTTCTCCTCCTCTCCTCCTCCTCTTCTTCTAGTCCCCATTCCTTCCTTCCTCCGTCTTCCACCTTCTCTCCAACATTTCCTCCATTTCCACCATTTATTCCCCCTTCCCTTTGTCTTCCCATCTTCTTCTTCTTCTTCTCTTCTTCTTCTTCTTCTTCTTCTTCTTCTTCCTCTTCCTCTTCCTCTTCCTCTTCCTCCTCCTCCTCCTCCTCCTCCTCCTCCTCCTCTCTTCCTTCTCCTCCTCCTCCTCCTCCTCCTCTCTTCCTTCTCCTCCTCCTCCTCCTCCTCCTCTCTTCCTTCTCCTCCTCCTCCTCCTCCTCCTCTCTTCCTTCTCCTCCTCCTCCTCCTCCTCCTCTCTTCCTTCTCCTCCTCCTTCTCCTCCTCCTCCTCCTCCTCCTCCTCCTCCTCCTCCTCCTCCTCCTCCTCCAGTTGTGTAAGCCGGGCCACCTTTTTTACGTAAGACAAACTATTCTTCATTATGGCAGCTATTTGGACGAAAATTTTACAGTTAGGACTAATCCGTGAGTCTGAATTATTCATTTTGGCTCTCATTCAACCCCCGCCTGTGTAAATAAGTCCCGTGTTTGCTTTACGGCATTAGTTGTCTTCTCATCTGGTTAAATTCTGATGAACGCGAGGGAGTAAATTCTTGTCATTTTGTTAGTTGCTATTATATAATCTTTCTTTTACTTTCTTTCTTTCTCCTCCTTTCTCTTTGTCTTCGTTCTCTCTCTCTCTCTCTCTCTCTCTCTCTCTCTCTCTCTCTCTCTCTCTCTCTCTCTCTCTCTCTCTCTCTCTCTCTCTCTCTCTCTCTCCCCTCCCCTCCCTCCTCCCCTCTCCTCTTTTCTCTTCTCTTATCCTCTTTCTTCTCTTCTGTCTCCTCCTCCTCCTCTCCCCAACCGAAACCATAATTATTTATCTTACAGCTGTTCCATGTTTATTAGTTTGTAGTCACCATTACCCTCCGGTGTTTACGCCTGTTAATGAGCTGAAACCGAGCCATAGAAGTCGAGGAAACGGCGCAGGCTTGTTTCATTAGCTTGTTTCCTTCTGTCTGTGTGCACGCGATTCTGTGCTTGTTTGTGGGCGTCTCTCCTCAACCCCCTCTCTGTTCCACCGCCTCTTCTCCATCTCTTTACCTGTCCGCTGTTCCCTCCAACCCCCCACCTCCCCTCATCTCCCGCCTCTTCTCCGTCGCTTCACCTGTCCGCTATTCCCTTACCCCCCCCCCCCTCCCCGCATCTCCCGCCTCTTCTCCGTTCCTTCACCTGTCCGCTGTTTCATCTACCTGTCCCCCCCCCCCCAAACCTCTATCTAACCAGGCCTTCCTAAAGGGATTAGCGTCGCCTATGTCTGTCTACCTACCCCCTCCTCTTCTTTTTCTTTTTTTCTTCTTCTTCGTCCTCCTCCTCTTCTCTCCTCCTCTCCTCCCTCCTCCTCCTCCTCTTCTTCCTCCTCCTCCTCCTCCTCTCTTCCTCCTCCTCCTCCTCTCTTCCTCCTCCTCTCTTCCTCTCCTCCTCCTCCTCCTCCTCTCTTCCTCTCCACCTCCTCCTCTTCTCCTCCTCTTCCTCCTCCTCTCCTCCTCCTCTTCTCCTCCTCTTCCTCCTCCTCTTCCTCCTCCTCCTTCCTCCTCCTCTTCCTCCTCCTCTTCCTCCTCCTCTTCCTCCTCCTCTCCTCCTCCTCTCCTCCTCCTTCTCCTCCTCCTCCTCTCCTCCTCCTCTTCCTCCTCCTCTCTTCCTCCTCCTCTCCTCCTCCTCTTCCTCCTCCTCTCTTCCTCTCCTCCTCTTCTTCCTCCTCCTCTTCCTCCTCCTCTCTTCCTCTCCACCTCCCCTTCCACCTGCCTTCTCTCCCGCTCACCCTCCCGCGTGAGGTCACCGAAGGAATACCGGGTCACAAGCTTTGACCTCATTTTAGCCCGTCGGTCTTTCTTGTTCAGAAACAGTTTCAGTAAGAGTTCTTAACAATAGCTCTTGCCTCAATGACTCTCTAGTTCACTTCATTTCACTTCACACGCACGCACTCACACTCATACTCACACTCATACTCACACTCACACTCACACTCATACTCACACTCACACTCACACTCACACTCACACTCACACTCACACTCACACTCACACACACACACTCACACACACACTCACACTCACTCTCACTCACACAAATGAACCCAGACGCAGAAACTCCATGTATGTATGTATGCATGTATGGACGTCTGGATGTGCGCGTTCAGCATCCATCACCCTTGAGGCATTTTTGTTTTCCTTGTAAATGCAAATCTCCCGATAAGTTAAGCCTCGGATTTTAATCTCTCGTGAACCGTTATGCTATTGTCTGTATCTCATTCACTGTTCATATCTTCCTTTCTTTTTCTCTCTATTTATGCTTTTATCGCTTCATCTTCTTATCTCTTTTTCCCTCAGTCCACCTGACCTTATTATTTTTCCCCTCACATCTCTCCTCTCCTGTCTTTCCTTATCCCTTTTTCTTATGCCTCTCTCTCTCTCTCTCTCTCTCTCTCTCTCTCTCTCTCTCTCTCTCTCTCTCTCTCTCTCTCTCTCTCTCTCTCTCTCTC